GTTGTTTAGAGAAGTGTAAAACGCATGCCTCATTATAGGGTCATCAAGTTCATTTCACATATTGTTGACTTTTTAAAAAGGAATTACTGTGGGAAAAATTATTATGCGTGTTATAATAATATATTATTTCATATTCTATGCATGCTATTAGAAACAAATCTACATTTAAGCATTGAAAATATTTGCTATTTAAAGGTGCTGTAAGTAAGTTTGACACCCAGTGGTTGAACTAGGTAATGCATTCCTGGATCAAAACAAATGCAAGTGCAGGTTGCCAGATTGAGGACCAACAGGACCAACAGTGTAAAGCCTGGTTTATGCTCGATGTGTCCACTAGTTCGCTTGAGTGCACGCAGCAAATGTGACATCAACACTGTGATTGCGGAGGTGTGCTTTGGGTGTGCGCGACATGATTTTGCCTGGCGGAGCTCATAATTAGTTTATGAGACTCGAGCGAACAGTTTGCGTGCTGCCCTCTTTGACTTGAGTTGAATATGAAACACTTTGAAGAGATTTTGTCTGAAACAGGTACGACTGTACAGACATCTTTATGATCTGTCCATGCGTGACTATAGGGATAACCAGATAAACAACCATTCTAGGCTAGAAATTGCAACAGCAGTGGGAAAGTACGACAGTTTTTGTATAAAAGTTTGGAAAAACCTGAGCGATAAGATTGTTAAGCCAAAAGGGACAAGTTTTTCCATCTTTTATAGGTTCAACACTGATGTAAATATTACAATTTTGACACTAAAACAATTTAATAAATACAAAATTCAAAATTCAAAAATGAATTCACAAAATTTTTCTTTGATAACAGGAAAAGAATATCTGAACCTATCACTTTACTATATACTGATGGCCTGTTTTTCTAGGCTTTATTGGTGTTAATGGTCAGGAATGTTGGACCATTATTGCCTTTTTAGCATAAGAAGAGGACAGAAACTGGCCAGACAGTAATGTGTGAATTGTGGAGCAGGCTAAATCTACAAAAAAACATGTACTTTTTTTTAGCTTTTATTATTGCCATAATAAAAAATATATTTGTAGAGCAACCCATGTTCTCTTATCATTAATATTTTAATGAACTGTAATAGATAAACATGTCCGAGATATAAACAGATATAAAGCAAGTGATGCATCAAAGTTTGATTTAAAAAAAATATTGAAAAGTTCTAAAAATCCTTATAGTCATTAAAAAAATAATGGAAATAATTAGTTTAAAAATCTTCAATAATATTAAGAAATGACGGTCCCACTTTATATTAAGTGGCCTTAACTGATAAGTACTTACACAGGAATAATTAGTTTGTACTTATTGTGTAAATACATGTATTTACTGTGTACTTATGCTTGATTAAATAAAAGTATGTAATTACATCTGTAATTAACTTTTGTAATTACATTTGTAAATACACTGTTGACCATCCCTTACACCTTAACCCACCCTTAAACCTACCTACACCACCAAACCTGTTCATAACCCAACCTCTATCCCAAAAAAGCACCACAAGTGTTCTCAAATGCATCATAAACACAGTAAGTACATTGTATTTATTTTTTTATGCAAGTTCATAGTAGTTAAGGACACTTAATATAAAGTAGGACCGAAATGACATTCCGGAAACTTCCTACTTCTCTGTTTATCCATTTTATTTTACAGTGGGTTTGTTTTTACCACCCCCTGTTGTTTTAAAGAATATCACGACAGCGAACGTGTCAAGTATAAAAGCCTCGTCTGTTTCGTGAGGTGCGCATGCAGTCAGCGGAGCTCCGCGACGCAGTGCCAGGCAGAAGTATAAATCAAGCTTAACTATCAACCCTAAAGGCTGATTTGAGTCGTGTTCTAAATAAAATCAACGGCATGCGATATAAGAAATATTTTCCAAATTAAAATAAGTTTTTGTCCTAACCAACACCTCGAATTTATATATTAGAAACAGCTTCTATTTCTTGCAGCTGAACAACAGAAAACTGACAATGATCACCTCAGGTAAACCTCATGAGTGGCTTTGCGAGGGGGGGTGGAGGTGGGGGGATGGTTCGGGGGGTTAAGCCCCTGATATATTGTCAAAAGCCCCTGATCTTTTGGAATATGCTGCACTTAAACTAGGTTGTATAACATTTTTTTTGTTATTCAAGTACTTAAATTTACCACATACATCACGAGCATTCCACTTAGCGCAGCTTTTGTGTCGGGTATTTAAATAGTCAGCTGTTCAGCAGTACGTGTTTCTACCGGCAAGTGGGACTGTTGTCACACGGCAAGTATAAAAAAAAAACGTCTGTTGTTTTTTATTCTTTTTTTTTTGGTGATGTTTTAATGTCTTTAGATTAAAAAAAAATAAAAGACATTCAAACAAACAAACAGGGTAGGGGAGCAACAGACATATCAACAATTTTCAATCTGAGAGAAGGAAAAAAAAACACCTTTCCATTTTTTCATATAGTCTTAAATGTTGGAAGAAAAACACTGCCATGCATCAAGGGTACTAGGTAGGGCTGTGCAATATGGACAAATTAATCATATTGCGATTTTATGAATGAATATTGCGATTGCAATTTTATTTGCGATTTTGGCAACTGTTTTTGCTTTTTCAAACAAGCTACATACACACATTCTAAATGCATTCAGTGCACAAGAAGTGCATGACAAAACTATAGCGTCAGTAATTTCTTTGTGCCATTTTGACCCTTTCCCATAAGGCACAGCACTTGCAAATGCTTGAACAATGGATACTAGTTTAGGCTGTTTGGGCTCGCTTTGATGTGTGCTTTTGTTTGTTTTGATGGACTTTGTCGACATGCATTGATCATGCAGTTTTTTATGACGCTGTTTTAAGTGTTGGAACAGATCTTTCTTCTACTCAGCTTAGCTGTAACTGCCCCGGTGCGCTGCGTCAGCTCTGATTGGTTAACATTAAAATCATGCGCACAAGAACATAGTCCGAATAAAATTTGAAATAAATAGATAAAAATTGCAACCTTTTGCGATTTAGAAAATGCGTGTGCTTAAGTTGCGATTTTTTTGTGATTGCGATTTATTGCACAGCCCTAGTACTAGGTTTAGCCTTATCAATTTGTGCTTTTGTACCTTCACAAGTCACTATTTTAAGGAGGCTATGAATCCAAAATGTTTTTGAACACATCTGTGGAGTAAACCAATTTTGTATGATTGCCTTCTTTGCAGCTGTAAAACCAACAAACAACATTCTCTTCTTTAGTGTACTTAAACAGAAATTAGAATCATCATTGAGAAATTTCATTCATTATATTGAGGAGCTGAAGCTGATGAGGTAATAATACAACTGTTTCCCGAAACTGACTAGCTCTAACTACTTCTGAAGCTTAATATTTGGTTTCACAGTATAAAATGTGTGTAGCTTTGGTGAAATAAAATAACTGTAATCAAAAAAAACATGTGTCATGTTAATGTAAACACCTGCCAGTTATTCAGAAAAAAAAAACTTGTTTGAGCTAAGCCCCTTATCCAGGGCCCACACATCCATAGAGGCGACCTAGACGGTATACTAAGGGCGACGTACGTTCAGTTCAGCTTGCTCTGGCCCTGCCCGTATCCTTTTTGACCCTAGCAACGCCCCTGTACCTCATGTGCTTTTGTTCAGTGTTAAATGCTAACAATGTAAGTTTGAATATCATTGTACATGACATTTATTGCCGTATAATGAAAGCAGCAGCAGATAGTTCACCTCAGATCTTGAAAATAAAATAAACTGTTTGAAATTGAACTCAAAACCAACACATATCAGTGATTCAGCATCTACATTTAATAGTGTTAAAGAGGTATAATATGTATTAATAAAATTAAAAACAATGTAACCTGCTCACTTAATGTTTACGTTTGTAATATTTCTATTATTTGCTAATTGATAACCTCATGTGGAACTCTGAATCTGCATCTCATTTCGGAGTCTGCTACTGTCTACCTGAGGTTGCATTTTGGTCACAACCGCATGCTTTCAGAGCCTTTATGAATGAATGAATGAATGAATGAATGAATGAATGAATGAATGAAATATGTTGTTTTCCACCAAGGCAACCTGGGATGCTAAAATATAATTGGCTAAACTGGCAGTGGACGGATAAAAAAAAATTAAAACAAAGACAGACGTTCCGGCACATAACGCACATTTTCAAAGCAGAATATCTGACTTCAGCATTGTTTTTCAGGTAAACAAGAAGTTTCACTCAGCATGTTTCTTAAATAACTGCAAACATATTATAGTATTTTTGCTTTAGAAAAGTCAAAAATCTACATATAGCACCTTTAAAAAGTATTTAGATACCATATCTATCATCTTTTGCATCGTCTTTTGTCTGTGGGGTCTATATCTATCAATGTTTTACATATTTGTCTGTCTAAAAAAAATATATGCTGTTTAAAAAAGTATTTGGATACAAACGGGACAAAAGCTATATATATATATATATATATATATATATATATATATATATATATTATTTTTTAACATACAAAAACTTAAATATTTAAACAGAAATGTACTATATTATTTACATATATACATTCATATTTTAATATAGAAAATTGAAGCCCATGTTATCTGCAGTTTTGCTGTCTCCAGAAGTATACAACGAAGTAACATATGACAGCTCGCCTTTAATAATGCAGTTTACGTAAAACGTCTGTCTCACAGTGTTAAATCTTCCTACAGGAGCGACGGTGTTTCCCTTTAAATAATACATAGGCTATCTGTCGTGAATATGATCAGCTCATGATCTTAAAAAGGCGAAATCTACGCCTTCATTAAAGTCGTTCAAATATGTGAAGAATGCGTGTGGAAAACTGCTGTAGGAATAATAATGATCCTGGACGCGGCGAGATCAGCAGATCAAAAACACACGTACAGACACGTCACGGCGCGAGAAGAGGGAAACCCGCTGTTTTTAACGTTACCTGACCGAACACAGCCGTGAGATTCCGCTCAGAAGACCCGAACCGACCGATAATCCATCTGTACCTGAAGAATGAGCAGACTGTGCCCTGTAGAGAGCCTCCCAGTAGCTCCTCTGACAATAAAAACTGAGAGTGAGTGTGTATGTGTGTGTGAGTGCGCCTGTGTTACAGGCATTATTGGTAAGAGTTGTACTGCTCCCTCTGCTGGTCACAGATGGTCATAGACATAGACGCCGGTACAGTGAGGATATCATTGGGTACTTTGATATTTAGACGCGACAGAACTGATTAATTACTTTCTTTCTGTCTGACATTTGACCCATTTTGACCCATCCATCCATCCATCCATCCATCCATCCACCCATTCAGTCTGTCTGTTGCTTTGTCTATCTATCTGGGTTGTCTTCTGCATCTATCTATCTATCTATCTATCTATCTATCTATCTATCTATCTATCTATCTATCTATCTATCTATCTATCTATCTATCTATCTATCTATCTATCTATCTATCTATCTATCTATCTATCTATCTATCTATCTATCTATCTATCTATCTATCTATCTATCTATCTATCTATCTATCCATCTATCTATCTATCTGTCTATCTGTCTGTCTGTCTGTCTGTCTGTCTGTCTATCTATCCATCATCCATCCATCCATCCATCTAACTTTTCTATATATCTAAACATCCATCCATCCATCCATCCATCATCCATCATCTATCCTTTCTATCTATCTAAATATCTATCCATCCATCTAACTTTTTCATCCATCCATCCATCCAACTTATTATATCTATCTATCCATTCATCCATCTAATTTTTCTATCTATCTAAAAAGCTGAGAGAACCAAACTTTACCTGTTATGAAACAACAGTGATCTACTACACTCGGACAAACTCACAGTAAATGATTGTGCAATCAATTGTTCTTAGGTTTCAGATTTCAATGTTAAATGGCGGTGTTATATTGCAGTATATTTATGGTTATTACAACCATGACCTAACAAAACACTGACATTTGATTCTACTTCATGCCCTAACATGTAGAACAATGACATTAAAGCTTAACCTAACCACCAAATGGCTTCAGGTAACAGGTCAAGTGTTCACTTTACACATGAAACGTCTGAAACGTTTGATTTTATAAAACGTTTAGTTTTATGCTCATGTCAGCAACAACCACATGAACACACATTACTGTATGTTTATCCTTGGTGCAGAATAACACATATTTACTCCCTTTTGAAGGACAGTAATAAGTGTGCTAGCATGCATAATTATATGTCTTATAGCATTGTTGTCCATTCTGTACACCACAATTCCCCTGTAACTGTAACCCATTTTTTCGTCGATGTGTTCATACATGCTTTTAACCCTTTAACTCACATTCTTATTAAAGAATTTACTAATTTCCTTGGTAAATTTGGGACAATTTGACTTGATTACTGTGATATACAGCAACTCTACAGACCCTAAATAGTCAAATATCTTGGTTTTATTTTGTTATTTTATTATGAAGCCAAAAAATATTTACCCTACACTCTCAGAAATAAAGGTACGTGAGCTGTCACTGGGGTAGTACCTTTTCAAAAGGTACAAGTTTGTACCTAAAGGGTTAATACTGGTACCTCAAAAGTGTAATTTTTTACCTACAAATTTTAAGAGGAACACTTTTGTACTTTTTAGGTAATAATATGTGTTACATGTCCATGTATTTATTATTTATTTATTTGTTACTTTGTCGCCCTCTTGTGTTGTGTTGCTGGTTGTGTTTTCATTTAGAGTTGATTTCCTCCGCACCTGCAGACAATTCATCGTCGGCTATTTAAGAGCTCGTGCTGCAGTGATTCAGAGACGGGGATTTGAGCGGCCGTCCAGACGTGGAGTTGTGCTCCTTTGTTCTCAGCCTGTGTTTGTTGTGTTTCTCCCCACACTTTATTTATATTTGATTGTTTAATTAATAAAACCCCTAGACTGATCCATTTGTGTTTTTCCCTCATTTAATGTTGTGACTGGGGTCGTAACATATGTACCCTTGAGGTATTAATATGGACCTTTTAGGTAAAAATTTGTACCTTTTAAAAAGGTACCACCCCAGTGACATGCTGAAGTTTTTCCGCAATCGATCTTCAATCAATCGACTTTTTGGATGCATTGCCAATTTTTTGCATTTAGGGTCATGAACATCTTGGTAAATAGCTGATGTAAAAATTTGCAATGTTTTTTTCTGTTTACATTTCAATTTTACTCTTCTATTGCAATGTTATTATAACTCTAAAAACCCAAAATATGAAGGTATCTCAATTATATTTTGTTATTTTTGTTGATTAATTGCCTATAAAGACCAGCGCCGAGATAATCCCAAGGTTTTCAAAATCCTGGACCAGGCCGTATCCTGAACAGCTGCTGTGGTGGTCTTGAAGGAGAGGAGAGCATGAGTCCTGTGATGCTCCAGGGACAGACGAGTCTTCACTGAGGTCCAGCTTTCTCTAGCGCCTACACTGCAGCTCTGCACAAGACGTTTGGCCGGTGGAGAAATGGTCGTGCCCAACTGAGCCTGGTTTCTCTCGAGGTTTTTTAATTCTTCACTTTCGCCAATTGGTGAAGTTTTTTCCTTGCCGCTGTCACCACTGGCCTGCATGGTTCGGGATCTGTAGAGCTGCGCATCGATTAATTTGCTCTTTAGTGTTTGGACTCTCAGTTGTGATTATTAAACCAAACTGAACTGAGCTAAACTGAACTGAACTTAAACACTGAAAACTGAACTACACTGTTTCAATTTACTTTGTTCTTCTATGTGAAGCTGCTGAGCTGACGCAATCTACATTGTAAAAGCGCTATAGAAATAAAGGTGAATTGAATTGAATTAGCCAATTATGTCTGTGCAGAAGTATATTTTGTCAGCCATGCACAGATTAGCAATCACTTTTTTGCAATCTTTAAGAAATGCAATGAATAGCATTTAACCCATAAATAGTTTAGCATGATAAATTTGACCCATTTAATTGATGTCAAGCAAGATATTCTGATATTATAGATAGATATTATAAACAAGATATTCTGAAGAATGTTGGAAAAAAACAGCCACACTATAAAAAAATGCTGAATCAAATAAACTTTTCTAGTTATCTCAACTGATATCAGTCAAACTGACTAAAAATGTTAAGTCAAACTCTGTATATCTTAAAATGTTTAGCTGAAACCTGATTAACTTATTAAAATAAGTTAAAGTAACCTAAAATATTTGTTGTCTTGTCTTTTTTCATTATTTTTTACAGTAAACTGACATCCATTGTCAGATCAGAAAATACTCTGAAATCAAGTGCTGCTTTTCATTCATTCATTCATTCATTCATTCATTCATTCATTCATTCATTCATTCATTCATTCATTCATTTTTATTCAGCTTAGTCACTTTATTCATCAGGAGTCGCCACAGTGAAATGAACCCCCAACTTATCCAGCATATGTTTTCCACAATGGATGTCCCTCCAGCTGCAACCCAGTACTGGAAAACACCCATACACACTCATTCACACTCATAGACTATGGACAATTTAGCTTATTCAATTCTCCTATAGCGCATGTGTTTGGACTGTGGGGGAAACAGGAGCACCCAAAGGAGAATGAGTAGAACATGCAAACTCCACACAGAAATGCCAACTGATCTTTTGAGCAACCATCTTGCTGTGAGGCAACAGTGCTAACCACTGAGCCACCGTGTTGCCCCTATGGCTGTTTTTAAATAGTAAATGATGTTAAATTTTGGGTGAACTATCCCTTCAAAACAGAGCTGTGTCAGATTATTGTGTTTAAGTCGAGGGAAATAAAGGAGGAACTGTATGAGGGGAAAAGGAAGAGATTGATTCTTTGGATAAACAGTGAACTTCACTAATTAACATCTCTTCCGTAAAACACTTTCCCCTGGTGTCCACCCTTTCATGTTTCCATACCGTTTAAAGGAACGCTCCACTTAAAACAAATACTTCCCCTAATCATAAACAGTTGAGTTTTTGATACAACTTTCACTTTTAGCTTAGCTTAGCTCATTGAATCGGATTAGACCATTAGCGTCTCGCTTAAAAAAGACCAAATGTTATTAATTGTAATAGTTAAAGCTTGACACTTGTGTAGTTATATCGTGTAGTAAGAATGACTACATGTTGCTATTTTCTAGGCCAATATCAACCCAGGCTCATTGTTAATATGTACCCCTGCATACATTTCAGGAGAGAGCGAAATATATCCTATGAGGTAAATCTTTTTTGCAGTTTTTGTTTTCGTAAATCCACCAGAGGCCGCTGTGTACGCTTTTTCAGATCTCAGATTTCTCTTGTGAGTGCCATCCGCACATGCTGTTCACGCATAAATCCACCAGAGGCCGCTGTCGACTGACTTACTAGATGACTGACCAACTGATACCCCCTTTTCTTAACCCAACCGATAGTGTTTTAAAAAGCATAGATTGACCAGCACCCACTTCCCTAAACCCAACCAGCCCTCATGGCAGCCTCATTTTACCACGTTTCAGATTTTACCACATTCTCACCCTGTTATTTACTTATTTTATTTAATGTTTTTGGTTTTGTTTTTGTTTTAACAGCTTTCTGGAACCGATCTTCGCCAGACTCAAACCCTGTTGTTGCGGTCAACTCCTTTCTGCGTCTTTAGTCGGCAAACATAACAGTGGTCCACACGAAGGTAAGCGGTCAGCTGGTAGCTCAAAATGAAACAGAAGCAGTCGCGGCATCATATCGCCCTGTAGCGTTCGTTTTAAAGACGAAACACAGCTGATTTAGTAGTCTTGAACACCTTGATTAGTTGGATCAGCTGTGTTTAATTATGGTTGGAGCAAAACTGTGCAGAGCTGCGGCCCTCCAGGAATTGAGTTTGAGACCTATGCCTTAAGGCAAGTTGATGCATGTTTGAAGGATTTTTCTAATTAAATTCCCACATGCCCACACAAAGTGGATGAACAGAAGATTGAATCACTTTCAATTTAGATCCACGTGTTTATATGATCACACAAAGTTCAAAGAGCCTCGGTTTGCTGAAGCAACCTATTAACAACATTTACATTTACATTTAGTCATTTAGCAGACGCTTTTATCCAAAGCGACTTACAAATGAGGACAAGGAAGCAATTTACACAACTAAGAGCAACAATGAATAAGTGCTATAGGCAAGTTTCAGGTCTGTAAAGTCTAAGAAGGGAAGTATTAGTAGTATTAGTTTTTTTTTTTTTTTGGGGGGGGGGGGTACAGTTAGTGTGATATTCAGAGAGGCAATTGCAGATTAGGAAGTGAAGTGGAGACTAAACATCATAGGAAGAAGAGATGTTCATCTTGATTTCTTTATCTCTCACAGAAACAAAAGCTGCAAATGTGTTTGTTACTTTCTTACAAATCTAATAAATAATAAAGGATATGTTGTTTTAAAGATATTGAATGCTGGATTTAATGATTAAACGATAACTACGGTTTTTTATTTGTATTCTTCAGGTTAAAGATGTGTAAAGGACTTTTGATTTTATAAAACCACCAACATCAGTCAGGTAAAGCAACTTACTATACATCCCACTATAACTAGAGTACTTCGTCTTCATAGACTATCTTAATGTGGTCAAGTCATCGGCCCATTAACATTTCCTGCTTGTTATTAAACTATTTCATAACTGTAACAAGAGGCAATTCAATCATAACTTCATGTTAAAACGGCTGTCATGACATTGTTTATCAATATTTGGCTCTTTTTGTATTCTCGGAAGCTATAGAAATTAAACATGTAAAAAAAAAGAAATATGTTGGGACCATTGTTTTTGTTTACATCCCTCAAAATGGCCTGTATCACTGTTTTGTGTTTAAAGCACACTTCTGATGTTAGACAAAAGAAACTTATAAGTGTGTTATGAAAAGGTGTGGTCCATTTCAGCTGGGGAAAACAGTAAACTATGCTTTTAATTTGTATTGGAAGACATACAGTGTCAACAAAAGGGTGTTTTGTGGACAAAGTTTGTATTTGCTCTCAAAGTACAGCTTAAAATTTCCATGTTGAACGTGTCACCATTTTTCTCCTTTGCAAATGCCAAAAGAAATAAAGCAATGGTCTGAAATCAGGTGAAATTCTGATTAAAAAACACTTTTCTAATCTCTTCTTTTAAGGAATAATAACTTTAAAATAATAATAATAATTATATATCAAAATAAAGAAAGGCTAAAAAGAAAGAGAAACACTTAGGCTACATTATTAAACTGACAAAAGAGTTACAGAATTGTTTTTTATAAATTGGGATTGAGCAGTGCAGAGTCTAGAAATACTTAGACTTAATATTACAATTACTACTACTATTTTTACAACTTTATTATTGATGATAACTGCCTATATTTACTATATAACATTTGTATGTACAGGATAAAAAGGCATAGACTTTATATATATATATATATATATATATATATATATATATATATATATATATATATATATAAATAACCAAAATACCTAAAATTAATGCTTAAATGAAATAAATAAAACATTGTATGGTATCAAACAGTGCTCTCCATTATTGTGAGAGGTGTCTGTATATTTAACTATAAATTATAGGTTCATACAGGTGCTGAAATCCTTGAAAATACTTAAATTAATCTGCATAAAACTACTTATAGTAATTGTGTTCCCTCTATAATCGTACTAAATATTGTAATAATAATAATTAACTATTTTAAATAAAATTATCTTTCATTTTAAATTAAATATTTTTCATGAAATTAAATCTCTTGAGTCTCTACATCAAGGGATAGGACAAAAAGAAAAAAAAGTGGGAGGAGATGAAAAACCATAGAGATTACAGTTTATAGAATGAAATTTAAGATGAACGATAACACATTTAACACAAATAAATGTCACAGTAACTCAATGTTAGGCTTCCAATTCCAATAGTATCAACTATAATGTGATGAAATATACGTACCGGCCACTTTATTAGGTATGCCTGTCCAACTGCTCATTAATGCAAATGTCTAATTAGCCAATCACATGTCAGCAATTCAATGCATGGTCATGGTCAAGACGATCTACTGCAGTTCAAACTGAGCATCAGAATGGGGATGAAAGGTGATTTAAGTGACTTTGAGCATAGCATGGTCGTTGGTGCCAGACAGGCTGGTCTGAGTATTTCAGAAACTGCTGATCTACTGGGATTTTTATGCACAACCCTCTAGTGTTTACAGAGAATGGTCAGGAAAAAGAGAAAATACCCAGTGAGCGGCAGTTCTGTGGGCGCAAATGCTTTATTGATGCCAGACGTCAGGAGAATGGCCAGACTGGTTCCAGCTGATAGAAAGGCAACAATAATTAAAATAGCACGTTCAACCTTGAGGCGGATGGGCTACAGCAGCAGAAGACCACACCGGGTGCCACTCCTGTCAGCATAGAACAGGAAACTGAGGCTACAATTCACACAGGCTCACCAAAATTGGAAAATAGAAGACTGGAAAAACATTGCCTCATCTGATGAGTCTTCATTTCTGCATAGTGTCAGAATTTGCCATGAACAACATGAAAGCATGGATCTATCCTGCCTTGTATCAACGGTTCAGGCTGGTGGTGGTGTAATGGTGTGGGGGATATTTTCTTAGCACACTTTGGGCCTATTAGTATCAATTGAGCATCGTGTCATACCACAGACTACCTGAGAATTGAGCTGACCATGCAGACATCCCAAGTTGGGAAAAGTCATTTCCAGGGAGAAAAAATATGATTTGATATCCGGGGGAGACTCCCAGAACTTCGGGAGACTTGGGATGTGTGAACCATGTCCATCCCTTTATGACCACAGTGTACTCATCTTCTGATCGCTACTTCCAGGAGGATAACGCACCATGCCATAAAGCACGAATCATCTCAGACTGGTTTCTTGAACATGAAAATGAGTTCACTGTACTCAAATGGCCTCCACAGTCACCAGATCTCAATCCAACAGAGCACCTTTGGGGTGTGGTGGAATGGGAGTCGCATCATGGACGTGAAGCCGAGAAATCTGTCAGTATGGACCAACATTTCTGAGGAATATTTCCAGTACCTTGTTGAATCTATGCCACGATGGATTGAGGCAGTTCTGAAGGTAAAAGTGACCACTGAGTGTATGTTGTATGTAATTTGCCACATTTATAAACTACTAGAAAATTTTATGTAAATTGCTTGAAAAGTGTTTAAATTTGACAGTGGAAAAGGTCAAATTTACGCTGATTTCATGACCTTTTTTGCCACTATTTACAGAGTAAAGCGCACGTGTAAAACGTTGAAAGCTACAATTAGAATCTGACGAAATCGTTTCACTTGTATGTAAAAGAGCACTGATCACGTGAAAGGAGTTTGGGGGAGGCGGGCTCTAGTGACGTCAACTGAAATTGACCAATAGACGCTTATGTTTTTCGCCCTCTGATTGGTCCATCGCCAGAGTGAACTGTGAGCCCCGCGTTTACGTCGCAGGAGTGAGAATGTGTGAATGTTCACGAAGATTATGAACTGCGAACGGGGAAAACGTGCACGCTTTTAACCCCCACTCCATCTGACCTGCAGTTTGGATTTTGACCCAGATCAGTGATATTCGGTCACTTCTTCTCCACAGGCTCGCTTTCAGAAGTTAAAGTGGAAGAAGCGACCGCGGATCGATCAGCGGAGGTTTGCTGGGGGTGTAACCGCGTTGAGACGTTCTGAGGTCGGTCACTGAGTGTAGGAGCGGCCGTTGGACTCACACCCACCCGCATGAGCTCCACACGGACTTTTATGACTCTGCTGCCCAGTCCGGTTGATCCCGGAGAGCATGAGCCGAGATGAGCCAGAGAGACACACTCGTGCATCTGTTTGCTGGAGGGTAGGTTAAGACGAGCTTTTTTTACTTCTCGAGTTTGTTTGACACGTAACGTTAACCTTACACAAACAAAAATTGAGATTGTTTAAAGTTGGTTTTATATTCACACATACGGACTTTCTCCATAATAATGTGATTTCAGAAAAGTATTATTTGCAAATTCTACATTGGAAATCGTATTATCAGCCAAATGACTATCAAAGTACAACATTGTACACAAATAAATAGTTCTAATGTTGTTTGGAGGTCATACTTGGATGTAACTTCAAACCGAATATTCAAAGTTCCATACTAATAAACAATACAGGGAAAATATAATGACGTGTGACTTTTATGAAACTTACTAACTTATTATTATTTGGTTTCTTTTGGGCAAACAATTAAAAATACTGATGCTATCCTAATCCTAAAAAGTAACAAATAAAACAACAAAAATAAATGTAATGTGAATGTGTGTGTTGTTTTCCAAAATTAAGTTAGGCCTAAGATTTTATTGTATAACTTTTTTTTTGAGGTAAAGTTGGTTTTATATTCACACATTCGCTCAATGACCATATTAAGGTAAAGCTGGTTTATTATTCACACATTTAGACTTTTTCCTTTATAATAAAACTTCACAAAAATGTTATTTGCAAATTTTAAATAGTGAAATTATAATAGCAGCCAATGAATATCAAAGTAAAACATTGTTTACAGTCAAATAAATAGTGCTAATGTTGTTGTGAAGTCATACATATGATTTTAGACTGAATATTCAAAGTATCATGGTAAACAATATAAGGTGTGTCACAAGTTGCCATTGAATTAATGTGCGAATATAAAACCAACTTTACCTCAGTAATGACCATTTGTCAAATGCTCCTTATATTGTTGACTATGGTACTTTGAATATTCGGACTGAATTCCATGTAAATGTGACTTCAAAACAACATTAGCACTATTTATTTGACTGAACTATTTTTGATAATAATTTTCTGCTAATGTGATTTCACTATGTAGAATTTGCGAAATGTCTGAATGTACGAATGTAAAACAAACTTTTTTACTCCTTGAGTTTTGTTTGACACATACACAAACAAAATAGATTTTAAAACTGAAATGGCTATGTTAGAACCTACTGTAAGGCTACTGCGAATGTTACAAATGTGTGTATATGTAAAATGTAACGGCTGTGTTACTTTTATTAACAAAATCTTTACACTATCTTAATCGCAAAAAGTAACCAAACATATAAAAAACTAATGTGAATGTGTGTGTTTTCTTCTAAGATTAAGATAGAATTAGGTTTGTAATATATAACTTGTTTGTTCATTTTAGGAAAATGCAATTTCAGTTTTTTTATTGTAGTTATTAAATAACTTACAATTATTTTTGTGTTTAATATTTATTTTCTTTGAGATTCAGAGCTTTTAAAAGTTATATGCTGAATTTTGTTTGCCTTTTTTAAGATTTAACTTTAATGCATTGAAATGAAACAAAGCTTGTTTCACAGTTTTTGTTATGAATATTTTCTGTTCAGTTGGAGTACATGTGGGTTATTACTTTATATTTTTATTTTACATAACAGAATTACTGTACCTAATGCTTCTGTCATCACCACTACACTAACCGTTTAAGATTTTAGAGAACAATTGAGCTTTTGTTTACTAATGATTAACATAAAAAGCTGGAATATCCAGCAGGATCACAGATTTATAATTTCGAGATCTACTTATGTTGTTAATTATAAATGATATATAACTGTAATAAGATACAGATGTCATTTTGTGCTAGTTTAATTAGTTTCCTCACAATGGTCTTCTTAAATTATTTATTAAAAAAATAAAAAATAAATAAAATTACTGTAGCGCATCATATACCATAAGGTCCAATATCATAACTTAATATAGGTATTATTTGCAAATTCTACATTAGAAATCATATGACTATCAAAGTACAACATTATTCACAGTCAAAAAAATAGTGCTAATGCTGTTTTGAAGTCATACTTACATGTGATTACAATCCGAATATTGAAAGTACCATAGTAAACTATATAGGGTAAATATAGGGAAAAACTTATTACTGTTGTTATTATTATTATTATCATTTGGTTTCTTTGGGTAAACAGTTAAAAATCTTCAGATTATCACATGTAAACATGACTTCAAAACAACATTAGCACAAATTAATTAATTGTAAACAATGTTGCACTTGGATAGTCATTGGCTGCTAATGTGATTTCCCTATCCAAAATTTGCAAAGAATACTTAATTTCTGAAGTTATATTATTAAGGAGAACGTCTAAATGTATGCATGTAAAACCAACCTTACATAAATAGCTTTTTTTTTTTTTTTTTTTTTTTTGCTCAAGTTTTGTTTGACACGTACACAAACCTAATATCTTTTACAACTGAACAGGCTATTGTAAGGCTTCTGCTAAAGTTACCACTTTGTGCATGTGAAATGTAATGGCTGTGTAACTTTTATGAAACTTATTATTATTTTGTGTTGGGTAGCAGTTAAAAATCTTAATCCTAAAAATGTAGCAAAACACATAAACTAATGTGAACGTGTGTGTTTTTCCCCTACGATTAAGATTGACTAGAAGTCTGTAATCTATTACTTTGTTATTCTTTTTAGGTAAATGCAATTTCAGTTTTTTTTTTTTTTGGTTGTTATAACTTACTTTTTTGTTCATTATTTCTTTTCTAATTTTCTTTGAGAGTGATATAGTGTGGGAATATAAATTGAAATAATCTATATAACTTCTTGTCTTAGAGTTTCACAAAAGTTTTGGTGCCGTGAGCCAGACAGAGAAATTCACAACAAGAGTTTAAAAAAAGTTATATGCTGGATTTTGTTTGGTGTTTTTTAATCTGTAACTTTAATGTCCTGAAAGGAAGCAAAGTCTGTTTACAGTTTTTCAAATGAATATTTTCTGTTCAATTGGAGTGCATGTGTGTTTATTTTTTTATTTTACATAACAAAATTACAGTACTTAATGCTTCTGTCATTACCACCACACCAATCGTTTAAGGTTTTAGAGAACAATTGAGTTTTTGTTAAATTATGATTTATGTAATTAGCTGGAATATCCAGCAGGATCACAGATTTATAATTTCGAGATCTATTTATGTTATTAATTATAAATGATATATATTTATATGTAATAAGTTATACATGGTATTTTGTGGCTAGTTTGTTGTCTTTACAATCTGAAAGTCTTATTAAAATAATTATTTAAAAAAAGAAAAATATAATTACTGTAATCTACTAGGGATGTAACGGTATCAGAATTTCACGGTTCGGTAATACCTCGGTATGAATGTCACGGTACGGTATTTATTGAATCATTTACAGGAAAAAAAAAACTTTTGAAAATACTCCAAAAAAGTGCCAAAAGTGTCAATGACATACAAATTAGCCATCTATCTGTTAGCTTTGAAACAGGAACTTCAATTTTAATAACAAAAAATTATTAAACCATGTAAAAAAATAAAGTTTCAATTTAGTATTGTTGAAAACTCATCACATTCAACATTTAATCACTCACTTAGATAGAGATGGGTTTAAAGGAAAATTATCATATAACTATAATCTGGTAAAAGCTGGTATCTCTGGGTATTTACAATGTCCCCTGCAACAGAAAAAAACCCTCTCATTTGGGACTGAGGTTTCTGGGACAAGAGAGATATGACTTGGCCCATGTTGACAGCAGTGGGGTAACGTTGTGCATTGTCTTTCCCCCACTTGAGAAGACAAACCATGAGTGAGATAGAGATCTCTTTGCGGTACAAGTCAATGTCTGCATCAATCTGAACAGTGCTGTGTTTCTGCAGTCCCCATGACTGTTATTAGTCGTATTCCCCAACTTGCAGGCACGTGCACACATAGGGCTCAACCTGTGCAGTGCACATGCCCTTTTTAGTCTTGGATAGAAAATGCCCTTCCAAAACGATCAAAAGTGCCCCCGCGACGCGACACAACCTCCGTCCAGTCCAGCCTCAGTCCAGTCCGCTTTACAATACGCGCGCCACAACACAGCTGATCAGAACGCGCGCGACAGCACCGCTATTCAGCACGCGCGCGGCGACAACACCCGCTTTAGGTTCGATCATTTCCATCTTTTTTTCATCTCCGCTACTAGCAGCACACTCCATTTCCGCATTACTGGATCTGTAGCGACAACAGACCGCAAAGGATTATGGCCACGCCGGGGCTGATGGGAAATGAAGTTTCAGCTACCTCCCGTTCGCTTCATTCGCCTGAGCAAATTTTCTCTGAAGATCTATAGTTTTACCGAGTCATGCGACTTCGGTAATATCGAAAAAATTTAATATTGCGGTATGACGGTATTTACAATACCGTTACATCCCTATAATCTACAGTATTCCAAAAATAGATTTAAAGCATAATCAAGTCCAATGTCGGATCTTAATATTTGAACAAAATATTGATTTTCTTTTTTTTAATATTATTATTATTATTATACATTATATATTATACATTTTATACATATACATTTCTATATTATAATATTATATTATACAAAGAGCAAATGAAGGTTGATTGCACCACATTTCAAAATTAGTTGCACTTTTGCCGGAAGTATAAATCTGATGAAACACAGGAATCAGTAGTTGTCGCAGTGTCATTTATGGCTGATAATGTCTCTCATGATTTGACTTTCAACACAACCTTCAGTCAATGAATCACTGACAGACACTTGATTTGTAATCAGGCAGAAAATCGAACATACCTAAAAATAAATGGCGTGTTGTGGAGTATGACTGTGCATAATGTAGCACCACAATCCTGAGAGCTCTTAAATTCAGCCACCAATATATTTACATTACAGTATACAGAATATATATTGACAGAAACATCAAGATATTTCCAAGCGTTATAGGTATTACATATAGAGCTGGGCTGATAAACGATATTATATCGAATCACAATAATTTAATTTGAATTTATTTTATTTAACAGGGACAATGCTCATTAATAAACAGTAGAACTGT